AAGAACAGATCCTCCCCTGGAGCCTTCAGGGGGAGTGTGGTCCTGCCAATGCCTTGATTTCAGACTTCTGGCTTCCAGAACTTTGAGAGAATAGATATCTGTTGTTTTAAGCCATGCTATTTATGGTAATTTGTTACAGCAGACACAGAAAACTAGTACCTTATGTTTAGAGGAAGCATCTAAGATATCGTAATTTCTTATGGATAAGGCATTTTATATAATGACTCATCCTGTCAGTGGACATCTAAGCTTGGTCCTCAAAACCATGGAGTCTAGAATCAAAACAGAATCATTCATGTTCTGGCAGAGGAACACTGGTGCAGGAAACCCAAGGAAGAAATCATCCTAATACCCATTTGTTTTAAATCTCAGCCATCAGAAGATTGAGAAATCAGTCATTAAGGACACCTAGGGATTAACTCATTAAATACTAACGCATTTTATTTTAACGCTGTTCAGCAAGATCTTCCTAAAATGAGCCTTAAATTTTCCTGCCAACTTGAGATTACATAAAATATAATTAAACTTTTCTTAATGAAGCAAAAATTGAATAAATTTAAAACAAATGTCCATTACTGTGATAGCTATGGCTGAGGCTGCACAGGTGCAGATTTTTACATGGCAAGTGACTCCCTTCCCCTCTCCCATCATCTCATGGCCTCAGATTTCTAAACTCTAGTAATTGACCCTGATGTATTTGAGGGTTATTGAACTACGGGACTCTCTCTTTCTCTCCCCTCCCCCTCTCTGTCTTACACACACACACATGCTCCCTTCATTCTTTCCACAATCAGTTACTGGAATTGCCAGAGCACCCCTGAGTTAGAAGGCAAGGCCGTGGGACACAATGCATTCAGGCAGGTGAAGCTCAACTGTCACATAGAGTAGGCAGGGGCAGATACAAAAAGAGCTCTAGGGGCCGGCCCGGTGGCGCACTGCGCTAGTGCGCCGCTTGGGAAGCGCGGCGGCGCTCCCGCCGAGGGTTTGGATCCCACATGCGGACCGGTTCCCGCTCGTTGGCTGAGTGAGGCGCGGGGGCAACACCGAGGGTTGCGATCCCGTTGCCGGTCCCGGTCCGG